CCGAACGCTAACACCCCCTCCCCTCACTAGCACAACCTATCGCCGCGGGTGTAACATCACCATAACCCTTGCACCCAATCCCCCCTTCCCCCCACCGTCCGTTGAAACGTCTGCCTTCAAAACCTCTAGTGCGACCTTCCCAGCCCTCACTTTTAATTTAGTTTGATGACGAACACGTGATACTTGTTCGAAAATTCACGAGTACAACTCGGTCTTCCGAAGATAGTCTTATAGTGATGTAAAACGTGCTCTGCGTCTATCGTTCTCGTCTGTACCGACTCGCATATGTCCATGTTAATGATCACAAACGAGATATCAGGGACTAGGACAGAGCGCAGGGGTCCGCTGTGGTGTGAGTCTACAGCTACATGGGCCAGTACACATGCTCCCATGTGCGGCATTTAATATGACCGCGCATGCCGAACAACACCTGCTTGTACTTCCCCACACAGCACATGGCTACGACAACAACCAGATTTTGTCGTGCTCAGACAGGCAGCAAACCTACTGCGGTTAATAATAAAGCCATACGTTTAGCAAACGTTGACGGGGAGGGAATCAACAAATAAAATTTACTAACCTTTCCTCCACAAACCTCATCCTTTATTTGGGCTTTAGCGATGTACAAGGGTCTTCCATCAGCAGCTATGCCTGCCACAAGGGATTTATCGGGCACTTGACCTCCAGTAGCCGGCACCCAGTCGTAGCTGTTAGAGAAAAAAAGGGGAACAGTAAACTATGGGAATTTGACCCTAGGCTGACCATATCAAAGTGTACGAGGTGATATTTTGGAAAACTGGATGGTTCTTTCGTGTGGACGTATGATTGACGCATATGCTTTCGAAATCTGTTGAGAATCGTGGCTTGTTGGAATGTGTTCGTTGGAAAACGCTGACAAACGCTATTATGACGTTTCATATCTGGCAATGCAGGTCATCATCAACTGCGTGAAAAATGTACAGAAGAGTGGGTATTTTAAACATCTCAGGAAAAAAGTGATTAGTCTAGGGAGGTTATGAATAGATGCGTGAGACAACAGGAGTTAAAACAAAAAAATAAAAGAAACTAGATTGTTCCGATCAGCCGCCCATTTGAAGAAGTTGGCGAACACTTCCATACATTAAGAATGTATGCGAACTCACCGAAAGAAACCCGAGAAATCGTCAACTCCAAGTTGCGAAAGAACCAACGACTACACTGTAATATCCGCTTGTACACGCTAGAGATAGGGTTTATTTTTGGCCAAAAAAACCGTTCACGAAATTCCCTGTGGCAGCTGC